TGCCACAGAATTTTAGTAATCCGTTTGTGTGTGCCATGAGATGGAAAAGGCTGAAAATCCCTGCTCTCCAGGGCCGCGTGAACACAGTGTGTACAGCACACCGACACACATACACCAAACGCAGATTCAGATTCGCAGTTACAAAGACAAACAAATGCACACACATGTACCAGCACACAGTGCACCCCCGGGGAGCCCACCCCCTGAGCCCGGGGGCTCCACTGCCCTCTGTGCCTTCCCTGTCTCCCCAGACAGGCTGTGCCCTCGGGCGCAGGGCTTAGTGCCCACTCTCTGAGGCGAGAACTGGGCTTGGGAAGTGAGACTAACCTACATGTCTCTCCAGGTGCGAGGCTATTTGCATCTCCGCAGTCCAAGGGGCCCAGAAAAACTAGATGTAGCCACTAGAAACTTGTGGTCGGCAGGTGCTACTTTCGAGAGACCCGGTGACATGTGACGACGGCTGCAGCCAGAGGTGGGGCAGGCAGTTCACAAAACAGCTCACTGAGGGTCTCATTTAACCTTCACAGCTCCCTGTGCGGGAGTATTTACAGATGGGAACGCAGACTTGGACAGGTAAGTGACTTGCTCCAAGGCCTGCAACTGTCACCGACAGACGGACTCCAAGGCAGGCCTTCGGAGGCCAAGGCCACATTCCCCTCGCCACCCCGTCAGCTCTGCCTCCTGCCTCTGGCTCGGCCCTGACTCGGGTCGGACCAGGCCGCTCAAGCTCACCTCCCTCAGCTCGGCCTCTGGGGCCCTGGCCTGGGTGGAGAGGAGCTGGAAGCATGGTGTTTTCTAGAAAGCCATCAGAGTGCATCTTTGAGAAGGACTGACGAGCCACGCCCCAGCCGCAGGCCCTGGTCCACTGCTCTTCTCAGAAGGGACAGAGGTGTCTGAGGAAAGCAACATGACTCAGAAGACAGACATGCACGTCACACCCGTGTGCTGGCCGCCCGGGGCCTCGGAACAACCGTGCGCTGACTAATTCCCGAAAGCTGACAACTTGATATGTTTTTGAAATGTAATGCCCAGGTGACAGGTGACAGTTTCATGAGCCCCGAAGACACACCCTCTCTTTGTCTCTGTCTCTGTCTCTGTCTCTCTCTCACACACACACTTCCCATGGGTGGTGGGACCGAACTGTGCAGGACTTTCACAATCTAAAGGGCCTTAGAGCTCCTGGAGCCCAGGATTTCCCAAACCACCTTGATGTCAAGAATGACCTGACTTAAATGACAAGTCACTTACTCAAATGACAAGCTCCAACCTGGGCCCCGGTCCAGGCCTCAAGGGCAGAATCTCAAGGCAGAGGCTAGAGAGGCCGGTGTGTGATGAGGCTCCTGACCCGGAGTCTGGAAGCACTCCACCTAGGCTCACCCCTCCTTGGACGAGCCCATGTGAGTGACTTGCAGAGTGCCTGGAGTTGCCCAGCGTCACACAGTACGTTAGGAGGGCGAGGGCGGAGCCCCAGCTCCAGGCCCTGCCATGTGCAGGGGGAGGTCCCTGAGCACTGGCCTGGGGTCTGTGCCCCACAATTTAGCAGCAACAGCAAAGAGGACCTCCTGAGTGCCAAGTTCTGTGCTGGGCACTTACCTACTTACAGAGCCCTGCTGGGACCCGTCCCTCCCTGGGTAAGAGGTGAGGACACAGGTCCACGGGGTTGAGTGTCTGCCACGGCCCCAGAGTTAGCAAGAGGCAGAGTCAGGGTTTGAGCCTGGGCCCGGGAGAAATCAGTGTGGCAACTCTGTGCCCTGTTAGCTCTGAGAGCCACTTTACCTGTCTGATTTCATCTGGTCCTCACAGAAACTAATGGTGTGGGCAGTGTAAGCTAAGGCCCGGAACATGGCTGGGAATTGTCCAAGTGACAGCAGGGCAAGGCAGGACGCGATCCACTCAGGATGCCACGCGCTCTCCGCCACTTGGACAGACGTGCCCTGCTGGGTTGGCCCTTTGGGGGATGGGGTTCTTTTAGACAACAGGAACTTTGGATTTCCCCACTGGCAGGTGGGCCTGGCTGTTTGTCCATCCTGCTTCATGATCCTAATGGCCCAGTGTCCACACAGGGAGGAGGAAAGGAGTCGCTGGTGTTTTGTGCGAGTTGGTGAACTGACACAGATGTGGACAAAACCATGCAAAATTCCCATGTGTTTCTTCACTTTATCCTCAGCTGAGTCTATCACATCATCCCCAAAATTCAGATCACAGACTCTGGTACATAGAACGTTATTGTTGAGGCAAATGCTTAAAAACTTGACATTTGTAACATAAACTTTATTTTAAAAGTTTTACTGCCTTTTCAAAAACAAAATGGAAAAATCTCACCTCAGTTTAGCCTTTTAAGGAAAGTATAACAAATACCAACTCTGTAGATTAAACTGTGATTCGATTCCGATACGAATTTGATTTCTGTTTTGTCACATGCCTCCCAGGCCCGGGATCATGTCGGGAGGGTGTGTTGTTGGCTCGGCTCCGAGCACAGGGGCTGCGGGACTGAATCTATCACTCGGTGAGCAGAACTCTTTCCCCACAGGACTGTCCTTGCCGCAGAACACAGGCCTTTGTCCCAGGCAGGGACTCACTGCGTGTTTGAGGACGTTGCACAGATATGAGTGTTTGAGATGGTGGTGACAGTGGAGCATAAACGGAGATGATGCACCGCCACCTCCTCCTTGCAGCCCTCTGGGCTCTGCTCCCTGTTGCTAATGCCAGATGCCCTACAAGGGTGCTCTTGGCAAGTGTCCTGGGCTGCCCGAGCCCTGCCACATATGCTCCAGGAACTGAAGACACACCGAGGGCTGTGTCCCAGCACAGGCTGTCTCTGGGGAAGCTGAGCTTCACTGGGAGAAGAATGGCTGGAAGTGGGGCGGCGCGGGGCGGCGTTGCCAAACCGTCTCCCCCCAGCAGCGTTCAGGAAGGTCACTGGAGCTAGGCCTGTTCTAGAACAAGGATGGAGAGGGTGAGCACTGTGAGAAGTGGTTGCTGCTGGTGGGGGAGGGGAAGGGGAGGCGCAGGGGCTTCAGTCTAGACCGAGGGGACCCGGGAGAAGGGATCGGTCCTGCCGGGAGGTGGAGGGCAGCTTGCCTTGCAGGAGCTGGACCTTACTGTGGGGGTGTGGGGAGGTGGGGGTTAGGGGTGCTGAATTAGAACGTCAGTGTTCTTGAGGTTCTGTGGGCACGACTGCGGTTTCCTGAGCTGAAAAACATCTTGTTCTCTACACCACACAACAGGTGGCCCGGTCAACGAGGCAGGAAGGAAGGGGTCCCTCATCGTTCCAGGTGTCTGCTTTTGCCCTGGTCACAGGCTTCCAGAGTCCAGGAGCTTTTCTGCAGCCTGACCCAACTTCCTACAGAAGCCCGGCCCGGGCGCATGCACAGCCACTGTCAGGACGGCGAGCAGTTTCCGTCTGAGGGCCGGTCCGGTGCCAGTGGACGGCTTTGCTTAGACAGCCCTCAGGCTGCCCTGGTCCTGCCCCTGGTCCTACCGGTTACTGACCACGGCGGCCGCGGGTGCGCGCAGACGTCCAAGCCGAACCACCCCCCTGCTTCCTGCTACCCGGACCCCCACCTGCGGTGCTGTGGGCGTCAATAAGTGTTTGTTGAGTTAAAGTGAATTTACCTAGAACTCTCGACTGTCCAGTAGAACTCACACTTCCTTTGATGGCTTAGAAGGTCAAAAGGGACAATTGCCTTTTGAGTTACTCCAGGAAATCTTACTGTAGGGCAGAGCAGGAAGTGGGTGTAGAGAAGCCCTCATTCATTTAACGGCCGTGTTGGGTTTCTGCTGCGGGCTGAGCCGTGTGCTGTGTGCTGTGTGCTGTGTCCCGAGGATGCACGGCGCGTGCTGGGCTGGGCCAGAAGGGAGGTGGAGGGCCCCCAAGGTGCCTCCCTGCTCCGGAGCCAGAGAAGTCCTGCAAGGTCACCAGCATGCTTGCAGGGCTGCTCCGGGCCTGGATGAGGAAATCCTCCGCCAGGGCCCTCTGGCTCAGCCCTGTGCAGAAGCACCAGGCCTGGCAGGTGGCCCTTTCTGCACTGAACTTCAGGCCTCTTGGTTCCCTCTGGGGTCACTGGCGGCTTCGATGGGCTCTTCTCTTCACCCCCGTGTCCGCTGGGGGAGGACTGACGCACTCTCAAAAATATGCTGGTCGCCCCCTGGGTCTTGCTAAGTTCTGGCAGCTCCAGAAGGAGCAGATGAAGAAGGTAGAAGGTCCTCTGGCTTGAAATCTACCCGCTTGTCTGCCCTCCCCTCACCCAGCCCCACCCTAAGCCCCCTGGGCAGGTCTGGTTTCCCATGGCCCCAACACATGCAGTCCCTAGATAAGAGTTACCAGAGAACCTGACTAGCAAGAGTTACTCACTGAGTACATCAGGATAGATGTTTCCCTGTGCTCGGTTCTTGAAGCTCAAAGTTAGCCAGTGCATGTGCATCTAAATGGTAAAATAACTGCTTTGAAACCCCAGGAAAAGGTAACATTCCCCATCACTTAGCTCTCTGAAGACTATCTTGTAACTAAAACCAGGAGTTTTTTTGGGTTTTGTGCTTTACAAAATGAAATCAGTTGTTTACCTGTCAAACCATGCTTGCCCAGTCTGTTCAGACATATACACACCTTGTGTATGGAGAGCCCATCATCACACAGGCCGATGCACATGCCACACCTGAGCGAACACACTCACTCTCACACACACACACACGCACTCACACACACCTACTCACACACTCACACACATACACACTTACACACAATACTCACACACACTCACACTCTCACAAACACATACACGCACACACACATATACAATCACTCACACACATTCACACACACAGAGCCACATGCACACACAACCATATGGACACACAATCACATGCACACCCTCGACTTCTGTTGTGGTTTCTGCCTTCTACCATGGTTGATTTGTAAAGATTTGAAAATTCCACATGTGGGTTGGAAATACACAAGTAGTGGCTACTCCTCATTAACATATTTCTGTGCTCCCAGACCTCCTCCCCTTACCCATGCACCAGGTACACGTCGTGAATACACTCGGTGACAGATTCACAAGGACGCAGAGCTTCCCCAGGGCCTGTCCCTCTTGTACTTCCGAAGGCCACCAGAGCACTGCCTTTGAAGTCAAAGGGATCTGGACTTGAGCTACATGACCTTGGGCCAGAACTTGATCTCTGTGTTGCCAGTGGAAATAGGATTCTTCCATGGAGTCACAAGAAAAGCATTTCGGGGACCCACGCATAGGAGGATGTGAGCAATTGTACAAGGTTTATTGGAGGGAAAACAAAGGACTGTCCCCGGGTGCCCGATGTCTTAGCCACAACCAGGTGGCTCAGCTCTGTCTGGCTGCAGAAGTCCCGCCTCTGGGGCCTCAGACCCACACTTGTCCTCACCAAGCCCAGGAGGCAGGGCCCAGAGGTGAGAACTCTGTCTCATGTCCCCATCTGCACGTCGCCGCCAAGGCTCTATGGCACAGGGGCCACGACCCGCGGTGCACTCCAGCCCGCACAGCTGCTGGAAGGGGGCAGAAGCGTGAACGAATGAACCTCAGGCCTTGTTAAACTTTCCCCATATTTCCTTGTGTTTGGGAGAGAGTATGGGCTTTCTCAAAATAATCAGTCTTTTCTCTAATTCTTCTGGGCTTGTGCTAGGCCCTCCCCGTACCCAATCCCTTCCCGGATCTTCTGGGTTCCATACTCTTATTCTATCTGATCCTTTCCCCAGGTTTTCCCAGGTTAGACTCCTCCCCTTCGTGTGCCCTCCTAGTGTCTACTGCGCATGCTTCAGCAAGAGGATTTGCCCTTCACTGGTTCTCCCTCCCACTGGTGATCTGGGGGAATAAAGGGTTGTGTGTTGTTCCCCACCCCTTAGATGGGGAAGCCAGTTCTTGGTGCCTGCTTGGGATTAGGGATGCAGCTGCCCCTGGGGTGTCTGTAACCTCCAGACTTAATCAGGCTTAGTCAGCTCTCTCCCTTCTCTTTTGTTAATACCTAACTCGCTGCCTCTGCTGACATCTGGAGCCTCCTGATTAGCAAAAGCAGAAGACACGAGGATGCCTGCTTCACAGGGCTGGGGCTAGGATTGAATGTGATGTGTGCAAAACCAATTCTACCTCCCTGGCCCGTGGTGGTTGCTTAGTATAAGGGTGAGCCTCACCCGGCTGGTGTGGCACAGTGCTTGAGCGTCGACCCAAAAGGTCACTGGTTCGATTCCTGGTCAGGGCACATGCCCAGGTTGTGGGCCTGATCCCCAGTGGGGGGCGTGCAGGAGGCAGCCAGTCGATGTTCTCTCTCATCGATGTTTCTATCTCTCCCTCTCCCTTCCCCTCTTTCTCTCTAATATCAATAAAGAAAAAATTTAAAAATAATAAAGAAAAAGGTGAGCCTCTTTCCCTCTATAACCAGTAAGAGAATTCCATCGGTTGCACAGTAGGGAGGAGCCTTAGAGGTCATGGCCAACCCCACCTGGTTCACTCCGGTCCTCTTAGCACCCTGCCCTGAGCACCAGCACCACGTCCCAGACAACGGCCGGACCTCAGAAGGGTTTGAAGGCCCAATGGGGTTGAACCCTCTGGTCATTTGGCCCTCCAAACCCCTGGCTTGAGCAGCTCTAAGGACCAGGAAGGAACTTACTTCTCCAGGAGGAAGCCCATCTTGTTGTCAGACATGTCAAGTTTGGAAAGTGCTTCCCGAGAGATTGGACCAGGGCCACCGTGGATGCGTTGGGGGTGAGGGTGGTGGCTGTCTTGGGAGGGGAAGACCTGCAGAGACACTGTTGGTGCCTGTGTTAGTCCCAGGACCAGGGAGAGGGCGTGGTCCGTCCACGGCAATCCTTGCCTTGAGGCTGTGTGTTGCCAGCAGCCTCCTTCACAAGTGCTAAGTGAGGTCATGGATCTGTTTTTCTTCTCCTCTGGATGATGGTAACTGGGCACTACATGGATCAAAGCCACAGCCACAGCCTCGTCATGTTGCTTCTGGGCAAGAACTAAACAATTTCAAATGTGACTTTCAAACACATCTCTAGAAATCTAGAAGCCTTTTATGTGAGTAGGCATTAAGTGCCTGGCTTGTGATGACTATTTGTTGCCCTCTGACAGCTTCCTGGAACCCTCCTCATTCTACGTGGGAGAAGAAAGAAGAAATGAAGGTGTTGTCTTAGAAACTATGGTTGGGATTTTCCCCTGTAAGAACGCACATGGTTAGTCATATCGGAGACCTTGTTTTAGCACAAGGCAGTCGGGGGGAGGCTACGTGATATAGGCAAGTTCTGAGGTGTGGGTTCTAATCCTGGTTCATCTTGAAGATGTCTGGGATCTTAGAAAATTTACTTATCCTCTCTGAGTCCTAGCACCTTCCTGTGGAAGGAGAGGGGCTAGATGGGATGCTCTCTAAGATTTTTTTTCAGCTCTGACATTTTGTGATCTTAATGCAACCACAAATCTCATAGATCTGCAGAGCCTTGGTCTGTCTTTATCACCTTCCTTTGGAGGCACTAGGAGATTCTGCTAACAGGACACACTGCCTCGTCCTAGGCCAGCCCTTTGTCAGGGGTCCTCAGGTCACTGGCACCTGAGTGGTCCTTCTAAAATAAACAACTCATGCCTTCGCCCCCTATTTAAAATCTTCCATTGGCAATTACCGCTTTTCCTCTTGCCTACAGGTTGCATTTTTCTGTTTCTTCACACGTCTAATGATTTTCATTGTGCATTAGACTCTGTGAATGATACTTTTTAGGGAGCTGGGACTTCCTTGTCTTCCTTTAAAGGAGGTGCGTTTTGTTCTCCAAACAAAGGAGAGAGTGAGACCGTGTGCGGGTCTGGCAGCGAGTCCCTCAGTCCCGCCCCTGTGCGCTTTCCCTCTCCATCCATCTCTCCGAATGTCTCACAAGTTTATTCCGTTTTCTCTAACAAACAAACAAAATAAAAGATAATCTAAGAAACAAAAATACTCAATATTGACTCAATTTATATTCCTAGTAGAAAAAAATCAAAACAGAATAAAAACAACCATGGCAAAAAATCATACATGGTAAAATTGGTTTTTAATCCCCCAAATTAACAAAGTAATAAGATCTCCTAGACCATGTTAATTTGTATAAAATTTGACCCAGGAAAATCAAAGCTGGCAGAAATAAAGGAACACACCTCATGATGGCAAAGCTTTCATCAGTACATTTGATGTGAGCCAAATAAGCAGATCAATGAATGAAATCTTTGTTGCGCATGGCAACGTAAAAAAAGGGGCAAATGGCAAAAGTAATTCTGGTGACAAAAGTCAGGAAAAACAGAAAACAGTCTAACTGCATTTTATAGAAAAATTGACGAACAGCCCTGGCCGGTTTGGCTCAGTGGTTAGAGCGTCGGCCTGTGGTCCAGAGAGACCCGGGTTCGGTTCCGCTAAGGGCACGTACCTCGGTTGCAGTTTGTCCCCGGCCCTGGTTGGGTCATGCGGGAGGCAGCCACTCGATGTGTCCCTTTCACGTCGATGTTTCTCACTCTCTCTCTCCTCCTGTCTTCCTCCCACTCTATCTAAACAAAAAATGGAAAAATGTCCTCGGGTAAGGATTAAAAAAAAAAAAAAAGAAAGAAAAATTGACGAACAAAATAAATGGGCTCAACAGAGTTCACGCTGGCAAATATTTCCTAAACAAACATTCATTAATGTCTATGTAACTCCAACTAAAAATATTTATATTGAAGACATCCTCAGGATGAAAATGATGGGTTCAAAATGCCCTGTGTACCTGCATGATCTTCTGTTCTGCTTCCCATGTCCTTGTTCCAGGTTGTCCTTTTCCCGGAAAGTACCCTTCTGAGTTGGCCACCGGTCTGCCTCCTCCTGGCCTCTTGGGCCAGGCCAAGGGTCAGCGCCTCGGTGAGGCCACCCCGAAACCTGACGCTCCGGCCGCTCCCACCACCCTGTCCATCTCGGTGCGGAGCTCTGCTGTGTTGGACTAAACACACACCTGGCTAGAGACTGGGAGGCCTTGGAAGGTAAGCGCTCACCCACACTCCCTGACCAAATCCGTGCTGGACCCCAGAGGCCAGTAGAATGTTTGTGGAATATATGAGTCAGTGTGTATGAAGCTCTGGTGGCACTAGTCGGGGACAGAGGTGTCCTGGGGAGAGGAGATGTCCTCGGGGAGTGGAGATGTCCTCGGGGAGAGCACTACCAGGCAGGTGGCTGAGGTCAGTGCTGGAAAGGGCCACCATGGGAGGCCGGAGGGACACTCGGGAGGGGGGAGTGCAGACCCAGTTGAGGGGATCTAGAATTCCTCTCTTAAGGATACGCTGGGTATTTCCCTTGCATTATAACATATTGACCTTAAAAGGAAAAAATTTAGGGAAAAAAAGAAGAAAATCATTTCTAATTCTATCACATAATATAGCCATTTCAATGTTCTCAGGCCTTTTCTTTCTGTGTGTGTTTAAGGGCTTTTAAAAACTCTATTCAGTCCGGCCGCTATGGCTCAGTGGTTGAGCATCGACCCGTGCACCAAGAGGTCACCAGTTCGATTCCTGGTCAGGGCACATGCCCAGGTATGGGCCCGGTCCTTAGTGGGAGGCAGGCAGGAGGTGGCCAATCAATGTTCTCTCTCATGGATGTTTCTCTCACTTCCTCTTTCTCTAAAATCAATAAAGGGGAAAAACTTTTTTTAAAACTATTTTTATTTTGAAACAATGATAAATTAACAGGAGGTTGAAAAAATAGAACAGAGAGGTCCCGCGTTCTCTTCAGCTGGTTTCTCCCAACGGTAATGTCTCACATCAATATAGTCTAATGTGAAAACCAGAAATTAACGTTGGCGCAACCCACAGACCTTATTCAGATTTCATCAGTTTTACATGTTATGGTTATTTTATTGACACGATTATAATTGGCTTGTACGTGTGGTCTATATTTTATTTTTTTCCATTAACTTTATTTCAAATGGCTTTAAAAATAGTATTGCATCGTTTGCATAGCCATTTGTAGGATGACTGTATAATAAACACCTGCCACGTGTAGCAGTTTGCCAAATTCTCCCTCCTCTTTTAAAGTTCATATTGCCTTCAGTGTCACCATTAGGAACAACACTATCTGTATTTTATATTCTTTTTATATTGTATACACACTTCTCTATTTTGTATTGTTTCTTAGGATGAAGTCCCTAAAGAATGCAGGAAGGGAGATAGGGGGTGATAAGCGCTTCCAGGAATATACAACACGTGTTCCTTCAGATAGGAGCGATTTAAACATATTTGGGTTGGTCTGATCAGGGAGAGGAGGCACCAGAGGGGGTTCTGCACGGAGGACGGAGAGCAGGGGGTTATTCATCACCGGCCCCAATTCTCCATCCCTCCCGGTCTCCAAGCCATTTCCACGTAACGTTGGAGGTCCTGCCCCAAAAGCACAGTATTTCCCTTCTCCACGTGGTGTACTTTGGCCAAGGCACGAGACCAAAATGACAGGGTGTCACTTCTGAGCCAGGCCACAGGGCCCTTGAGGATGTCATGAGGTTTTCTGGTTGGTTGCTGCTTAGCATTTTGTAACCAGTGCTCGCTCATACCTGGGACCCAGCATGGAGGCTGAGGGAGGGTCGGGGAAGGGGGTACAGATGGAGATAAGGCCAGGCATCCCCGAGAGCGCCGCCTGGATTGGTCGCTGTGCAGAGACCCGTTCTCTTCTGCGTCAGAGCGGGTAGGTGGAGGTGGATGACATCCAAGGGAACCACTTGACTTTATAAGGAATCCAGCTCCTGAAGGTTCCGTCTCCGTTGTCAGGGCCAAGGCGACGTAAGCAGAAGTCAGGCTGTTGTTTGAGGAAGTGGAAGGTAGGCTTCTTGAAGACCGGTCTTGTTTGGCAGGCTGAGCCCTCCAGGAGAGAGCCCGACCAGGACGGTGCGGCCACACGATGCCGCAACCGAAGAGACACCGCCACACTCCCGTAAACCCAACAGCACATCTGAAGGTCGGAGTGCAGGCTTCTAACTGGGGTACCAGAAAGAGTCTCCGTGACAAGAACAAGGGACAAAATACACAGAGTCAGATACAGAATTCCTCCGTGTCAAAGACCAAGTGGTTTCTTTGTAGAGGCCATTGAGATGCAAAAAAACCCTAATTTTTCACCCCATAGAGAAAGTTGGTTTAATTTTGAGTAGCCTGAGGCCACCAAGACCTGTGTGTTCCCTAGGTAACATGATGAGAGATAGTAAAAGAAAATAAAAAAAGAGTTTCTCCTTACAGGATGGTTTTCCTGTCCCTGTGAATAGAAACTCTGAGGTCAGCGCCACAGGGAGCCATGCAGGAGCAAGCCCAGGCTGGGCCGGTGTGAGCAGGTCTTCCTTGAGTTTGTTGAGTTGGGATCTTGGGGCTGGAAGGAGCTGAGGGCTCATGCAGACCCCTTTTCATTTTACATGAGAAAAAGAAGGCCCAGAGAGGTGAAGGAACTAGCCCGAGTTCACACAGCTCAGGAACAACACCACTAGAATGGAAACCCAGGGGTTTTCACTTCTCTCCCTTTGTTTTCACTCCATTCCCATCAACCCCCGGGAGCCGAGTGGACAGTTGTTAGAATATTGGGCCGGGGTGGGGGAGGGACTTGAAATCAGTGGCCAGAGCAAGACCCTTCTTTCAAAACGTGCTGGTGTAAGCAGCCTCGTCCTGCGAGGCCTCGGCGTGTTCTCCTCGTACAGCGGTCTCCCTGACTGGACAGCACGTTTCGGGGACACTCGGAGGCTGGCCGCGCCCTCACCTGTGACCTGCCCAGGCCAAGCAGTCCTGGGCCCATGGCTCAGATGTAGTAGAAGCTCCTGAAGTGGAATTGCCTGTTGAAATTCGAGAGCAGTCAAACACTTGGACACATTTTTGGATCAGGATGCCCTTTGAAATACTACATTTCCATCACTGACAGAGTGGGGGCGCCATCGGGGGTGCAGGCCTTGTCCCCCGGGTCCCAGCGTGTACCGGAGGCACAGGCTCTGTGTCCCTGTCTTGCCCGTCTCTAAGGAGCTGTGCAGCTCTGGGCGGTTCCCTCCCCGTTCTGGGCTTTGGTTCCCCCTCTGTGACGCAAGAGGGTGACTGGATGATGGGCCCCCCCAGCTCAGGGTACTTCCAGCCTGGGACTTAGGGAGGACCCAGCAGTCTCCAGACACTTCCCCTTGCTCCAGCCTGCCCCTGAGTCCGCTTCCTCTCCTGGCACTTTCTATTTTCTTCTGTCTGGGCAGTTGGTTGGCTGTTGGTTTCCCAGTCTTCTCGTGGAAACCGTCTGCCTGGGGCACACGGATGCCCAGGGTGTCTGGCTGCCTCTCAGCTCTGGGCCATGGTCGCCAGAGAGCCACAGACGATGGGGCAAAGCGGAACCTTCGAGGAGAAGTCCTGGGTAGCTGCCAGGCAGAAGAGAAGTCCAGGGGCTGGCTCTGTCCCCAGGGTCACAAGGTTGGGAGCGCCTTCCTAGCCATCCTCCTCCATTGCCTGGGGGCGGGGGAGCAGAAAGCCCAGATGTTGCTGCTATCGAGCAGAGGACGGTGCCATAGCAGGGACAGTCCCGGGGAGGAAACGGCTGGCTCTTCAAGAGTGAGGTCTGGAGACTGGAGCAGGAAGCTCTGGGGACAGAGAGAGGACAGAGTGTGGCAGTCAGCAGGCTGGAGGGCAGCCCCAGTCAGATCCCTCCCACCCAGAGGACAGGGAACACAAACCCTGGAGTGTGGGATACAATCCAAGTGGCCCGCCCCAAACAAGAAATTGTTACGAACCCCCCATGTTTTACCTTAAAAACCCAGTACCGCCCAGGCCTGTGTGGCCCAGTTGGTTGCATGTTGTCCCACACACCAAAAGGTCGCTAGTTCGATTCCTGGTCAGGGCACATGCCCAGGTTGTGGTTTGCCCCAGTTGGGGCATGTGCAGGAGGCAGCTAGCTGGGCAATGTTTCTCTCTCTCTCCCTCTCCCTTTTCTCTCTAAAAATCAATAAGAACATATTTTAAAAATAAATAAAGAAATCTAAGACACTACTGAATGAATACTATGTGACAATTGCAGAGATAATAGGTCTTTTAAAAATAAATAAATAAATAAATAAATAAATAAATAAACTAAAAGACCACCCAAGAATAGACACAGGCCCACATTTGTGAGTTGTCAGGATCGTCCTTTCCCTGTGAGGTCCCTTCCCGGCCTCCCAGATGGCACACTTTTGCTTTTTTTTGCCTCCAGATATAAGTCCTGTTTTCTCAGAACAGAGAGCTGGGTTGCACGCAGCAAAGCAGAGGCAGAAGCTTGTTAAACCCTTTGCCTTCTGAGAACATTCTTCAGAATTCCTGAGAGCAGGTGCACACCTTTGAACTGAACCCTGACCGTGCTGTGTGACTCGGCCCGGTCACTCAGCCCGTCTGAGCCTCATGAGTCCATGTGTCGTACAGACATAGTGACCCCAGGACTTACAGGGCAGCTCATAAACGATGGCCTCCGGTATAAACGAACGGTGCACACTGGGCCCTTTGGGGGGGAGGGGGGCAAGATGCAGTGAATATTGAAAGAGATTGGACTTCCAAGTTAGCAGATCTGATTTCAAAGTCAGCGTGCCTCCTACGAGCCAGTCTCCAGTGGCCTGAGACAGAGGCAGAACGAGGGTGGCAGGGGCCCTGGGCCTCACCCTGGAGTTGTCAGATCGCCAGGGAAGCTGAAGCACAGTGTGATCAGAGGTCGGGGACTAGGGACGCTGGCCAGTGCCATGACCCAGGCCGGGTTTCCCCTTCGGCAGCTGCAGCCTTCCAAGGGGTCAGAGGTCCTGTGAGCTTCTAGCCATAGACCCTACCAAGACAAGAAGAGGAAGCTGACAGTGGCCCCCTGCCTTGACCTCCCCCTGGACTCCCTCTGCAGCCCTCGTGAGCCAGGCCGGCCTGCACACTCGAACCCAGCACCTTCTAGTTTGCAGGCAGGACTCCTGCTTCACCTCCTCTGGGAAAAACAAGGCCCGTTGGCTGGCTTTGGCACCCACGACAGCTCCTCAGGCCAGGGCCCAGTTCCCCACTCTGGGGCTCCCTCTACCACCCGCTCCGCTCCGTGGGAGTGCTCCGAGGGGCGTGGCGGGAGGCCGGCCCGGCTGCTCAGGAGCAGAGCAGGCTGGCCCCCGAGCTGTGCCGGGCTCTCCGGCCCTTCGGGACTGACTTACCAGTTAGGGAATAGCCAGCTCCCTCCAGGTGGCCAGCGAGGGTGTGGCAGCGTCACCAACAGGGACAGCCAGGATAAGAGGCAGTGTTTGCCCCTCTGAACGAGTTGGTGATAGTCCTCTGATAATTCTGATTAGGCTGCTCCAAAACCATTGTTTCGTCGGGAACAGCTCCCCTCCGACAGTTTTGCAGAAATCAAAGGTCGTGACTTCGCCCTCCCTTTGAAGTACTGTGTCTATTTGCTCATTTGATTCAGACAGGGTGAGAACCCTGTGCCGGTTTCACGTGAAATTCTGCTCCTTTCAGCCACAGAGCCGTAAGAAACAAATGCCTGTGGCAATCAAAAGCACGCGATGAATTCTGACCACATAGAAAAGACACATATGTTCACACTGGAAGGCAAGACGCAGAAGCTGCGTCAGTGATCACTAAGCACACAGCAGCTGTCAGCAGGAGCTGGGGTGGTAAATGCTGGACCAACACTGATTGTTTCTGGAAATTCCAGCATCACTTTCCCAGAACAACGGCGTTTCCCATGTGGTGGGCCTTTCATAAACATACGTGACCCCTAGCCAGCGGGGTGGCTCAGCTGGCTGGAGGGTTGTCCCCTACACCCAACGGTGGCAGTGTGATTTCCGGTCAGGGCACGTACCTGGGTTTCAGGTTCGATCCCCAGTCAGTGTGTATGGGAGGCAACCAACTGATGTTTGTCACGTCGCTGCTTCATCGATATGTCTCTCTCTCATTCTCTCTCAAAATCAGTGAAAACATATCCTTGGGTGAGATGTGAATAACTGAATAAACATAATGAATAATTTTCTTATATATGTTTCAAAATTATTTTTTTGGAGAAAATCCATGAACACTTTCCATCACAGCGCACATACTATAGTGGAGAAAATCCGCCTTAAAAGGACAAACACGGACAGAGTCTGTGGTTCCCGGAGGGGGTGTAGATCCAGCCCGTGGGCCGTCAGCGGGATAAAATCAGGGGTGTCCAGCCCCCACCAAGCTCTTGAAGACTTGAGCTCTGGGGCTCCAGACCCTGTGGAAGACGCCCTCTTCCGTGGTCGGCAGGAAACGGGCCAGCAAGCAGTCAGTCCCCACGTCTCCACACCGAGGCTTTCTCCCCACAGTTCGCAGCAAAATGCGCCCCCCCCCCCCGCCTCTGAGAGGGTCTCAGAGGCCCCTGCTCCTCCAGCCTGTCCAGTTACGCTGCACCAGCCCCACGAGGCCACCAGCTGGTCTGTCTGGCTCCCCAACACCCCGGACAGCCACTGACCAGACCCTCCTGTGACGGGGAGCTCGCCACAGTCCGTGCTGTCTTCAGGTCACCCCCTCGGGGGCCCGTAGGGCTGGACCCGGCTCCCTGCACTTGACCGCTGGGTCCAGCTTCCCGGGGGAGCCGGGCGGTGTTTGCCTCTTTCACACAGTAGCCTTTCACATGTATGAGAACAAGGCTGCAGACAAAACATCCAGTTCCTTCAACTCCGGGAACCATGATTCTTCATCATTTGGAGGCTGTGGGCCCCACCCAGAATCCCAGGAAAACTGGACCATCTTCCCAGAAAAATGCGTACACAGTTCCCCCTCTGAGCCCATCCTGGGTCCCATAAGAGCCCAGGGACCGGAGGGAGGAACCGAGCACTCCCTGGGGTGGGCAGGAGGTAGGACCCCTGTCCGGCCTCGCAGACAGAGCTGCTGCGCGCCTCTGAACTGGCCGGGACCAGGCCCCACGCCTCTGCTTTGATCTGCCCCGGGCTAAGCAAGAGCCAGAACGCTGAGCGCTGCCCTGTTTCCCCTGAGGAGGCAGGTTCCTCCACCTCACTGCCGAGCCCAGGAGGGACAGTGACGGTGCTGGCTCAGGCAGAGTAAGCTGGGCTCGCTGGGGACCTCCGCCCTGCCCTGGGGTGCCCCAGGGCCCGCACCCCAAGCCGCTTCTGGATCTTATTCCTCAGCGCTTTTCTGAGCTCAGGCAGGAAAGAGGTGTTCCCTCCCAATAACCTCATTTTATAAATAAATGTGGAATTATATGGCACATACTGTTTTGTAAGTTGCTTTTTCTTTTTTTTTACTTGACCATATACTGTGGTGCTTCTCTGTATCTGTAAATATTCTAGATGTTGAAGAGGTTTTGGAGGGGGAGAAGGGTGCAGAGAGAGATACAGGTAACCAGAGAGAAAGGGAGTGGGTGGCAGGGAGGAGACAGTCTGATGTCTGAGGAGCTGTCTCCACTAGGAGGTGGGCTTTGGTCATGGGTGGCTTGGGGGTAGTTTGTTGTCCCTTCCATCCTGACTTGGGCCAGCGGGGGGCTTCCCGAGGGCTCGTGACTCCCCGGGAGACGCACACGTTCATGGTGGGTAGCAAGGCCGCCAGACAGAACCAGCCCGGTGCCTCCGGCTTCTGGGCTCCAGAGCACGCTGGCCGCCTCCAGGGATGCGGCCCAAATTGGCAGTGACCTCGTGAATGTGATTTTCTCTTTGAACATCATTAGAGTTTTGATCGAACATTTTTTTCATTTTTGTTTTATGAAAGTGTTCTAAAAGGTATGCCACCACCATCCCTCCTTGAGCTGCTTCCCGGCACCAGCCACTCAGCCTCTGCTCTCTTGGCACCTTCTGTGCCAGCCCCTGCCGCCTGGTGTTGACATGATCTGAAAGCTCACTGCTGGGCCCTGGGTGCCCGCTGTTCGTCACTGCCTTCCCAGCTGGCAAGTGATCTGGCCGGGCGGTTCTCCCGCTGCTCCCGTGCCGTGAGGAGCCCAGCAGGAGGGGGCAGCTTGGGGACTGTGGGTGCTCTTCCAGGCCTCCCCACCCTTCCTTGTTGATAATAGAATCTCTGCTCGTGCTTGCTTAAGTATGGGTTTCCAAGTGAAATTTCTCATTAAAAGGTTTCTCTGTTTTAAAACATAAGGTTTGAGAATCACCAATGTCCTGTTCCCTGAGTTATAGGCATTTCACAATCTCAAGGCAGCGGTGAAGGACGAAAAGTTAATATCTCACCTGCTTCCTTCCTCCCTGCTCTCGTCCCTTCCCCCCCGAAAAGGGTTAAACCCCTGTGGTGGAATAAAATGATCGTCTTCTTCCAGGGACGTCACCAGCCACGAGCAAGGGCAGGAACAGAAACTGGCCCAATCTCTCCAGCTCCTTCTCTTCAGTCAAAACCAAACCAGCAGGCATTCGCAGTGACTCAGACGCGTCCTCGCGCCACGCTGGGAAGTGACGGCCTGGCCTCTGCGGTGAGTGTCCCGAAGGCAGCAAGGGCTGCAGAATTCCCCTGCGCACGGGGACCGGGGACCGGGACGCAGCGCCCGTGGGAGGGCGGGGCTCTGCTCCAAAGGTGTGGATTCGGGTCTCCGGAGTCCACTTTATAACTGTGCTTCCAGACACATTATTTTCTGGGTCGTGGGTTCTTTCTCCCAGAGTTCTTTATTCTGATGATCGAATCAGATGCTATATGTGAACATCTTGTATAAGCTGTAAAAGTGCTTGCTGTTGATGTCGATGACGAACCTGGACCTGAAGGCAAAGGGAGGACCAGCCCGTTGTACCAGCGGCAGAGGCAACCTTGTCCTGAAGGGAGGAGGCCCCAGCGGTTTCAGAAATGTTCTTTGCCAGGTGGCGTTGGCCTTATTCCTGCCCTTGAAAAGGAGTCAGTCCCCCAATTTCTAACCCCAGGTCTGTGGCATCTCTGGTCTAATGGGACTGTGTGTGCTTGCCGTGTTGATGGGCAAGAACGGTCCAAGCAAGCGTGGGCCAGCTTGGCCTCTTTCCAGCAGGGGCCTGCGTGGACTGGTGCTGATTGCCCCGACCCCCACCAACAGGCTCACTGGAGGAGGGCACCGGGGGCCAGCAGCAGCCAGACACCTCGGGCATGTCTGTGACCCAGGCCATTCCCACTGACGCTCCTTCTCATCCCCCAGCAGCCCCTGACCCGCCAGTGTGGGGGCACAGCTAAGGGGGGGTGCCAGATGCCAAAACTCGCTGGGCAGCCCTAACTTCAGAAGTAGAAGCCTATATGCCAAGGGAGCAGTGGCCAGAAGTGAGTGGCATCTACTGCAGTGGCCAAACCCAGACCGGAGCTCATTTCTGCTCCAGGAACAAAGAGCTCCCCGTGGCATCACCGGCCACCTTATCCAAGGAGGACACATCCTTGGTCACACCCAGCCTTCCTGTTCCATCTTCCTGACGCCAAGTGCCGTGGGTGGCTCAGCAGGCATAAGTTGAATAACATTCACAACATAAGTTACAAGAAAAAAATGTTACTTACATATGTACACACATAAAAATAGGTATAAAGTGCTAGATCATACAATGCTACGTGTAAAGTAAATGTACAGATTAAATATCATCAGAGCAACACAGCAAAGTCCAAAGTGTCTAACGGACAGGGAGGGAGGAGGCGGTTTGGCCGAGAGCCGCTCGCCTCCCATCAAATAGCAGCCATGGGTCAGGTTCTTTGGCACGAGGTCTTTGGGCGATACAGGGGGACCCCCTGGGGAGCTGCAGAGCCGCGGTGTGAAGACAGCACCAGCCTTCACACGGAACATCACGTCGTTTCCAGACCGTCTGTGTGTGCCCATTACAGCACTGTTATGCCCGGTGTCAAGGACAGCCTTGAAGCCCAGTCCTGTTATAAGGCTTTGTGGGTAATTCAGAATGTGCGTATACTTTAACTTAGCATGGAAATGAATACAATGAACGGGAAGAGTCTCCATCAAAGCTCGCGGTTCCCGGGGAACACATCCAAGGGTGGCTGTTTGATCTTGGAACTTTGAGGGAGTAAAAATACACTCTTGGTGAGATAGCAGGTGGGGTTTGCCTCACACTGCCCACTGGTGTTGGTCTCCTCACCACACCTTCCCCAGGCCCCCCTGAGTTTGGTCCTAGGGTGGCAGAGGTGGGTCTGAGCCTGAGAGGGGGAGGGGGGCAGAGGACAGCAGCAGGACGTGGGCATGATGGCTGGGCTGCAGGTCTTGGCAGCAGCTTAGGAATGGGGCTGGGATAACCCAGGATGTGGTTAGGTCTGAGCGCTTTCTCTCCCCCAACCCTCCCTCCCTTGTGTCCCAAAGCCACTTCTAAGTGTACCCTGGTTATTGTTGAAAAGCGGCACCATGTCTATCCTTGAGGAAGAGTCTCAGACCCTGGGAGGGGGAGGGGGCACCTCCTGGAGGGGTGATTGGGACAGAAAAGAAGGGACTCCAAAGACAGAAGCAACAAGTGGTGTGAGCCCTGCAGGAGCTTGGGCAGCCTCCCGGCTTCCTCTTGTCTCCTTGGACCCCAGCAGCCTCCACCTCCACCTCTTGGGATGTTAGAGAGGGTGCCTGCCCCAGGAGCGGGGTTGGCTGGAAGGCACCCGAGTGCTCCGGGTTCTCGGCCCGTCTCCGTCCATGTGAAAGCATCGGTGCAGGACGCGGCAGCGTGGCCAGCCTCCCCGGACAGACCTCAAATACCTGAGGGCTGGAATCGTGTCCTCTTCACCACCCTGGCCCCTCAAGAGGTCAGAATCCTTCCCATTTGTGTGGCCCCAGCTAGATGCGCTCTGGAATCACACAGACCAGCATTCACACCCCGGTTCCATGGCTCACGGAGCCAAACACCTTACACCTGTGGGCCTCAGCGCCCACCTGTACAGGGGGAGTGCCAGTGCCTTTTGCTCAGACGTGTGGTGAACTCAGCAGGATACCGTCTTTGAGATGCACGGCCCAGTGCCTGGCACACTGGGCCCTGTGATTTAAGGCCCCTGGACGCTCCATGGCCCCTGCCCAGGCCGCTCATATCCTGGTGAGTGGGATACTTTTGAAACCCTCTGGACAGCCCTGGCCGGTTTGGCTCAGCGGTTAGAGCGTCGGCCTGCGGTCCTCAGAGACCCGGGTTTGGTTCCCACTAAGGGCGCGCACCTCAGTTGCAGTTTGTCCCCGGCCCTGGTCGGTTGTGCGGGTGGCAGCCACTCGATGTGTCCCTTCACATCGATGTTTCTCTCTCTCTCTCTGTTCCTCTCTCCCTCCCACTCTACCTGAAAAAAAAAAAAAAAAAAAAAAGAAACCCTCTGGACATTCAGAAGCTCCCACACCGGGGCTCCCCAGCGCTGAGCCAGCATCCACACCATGGCCTCACCACCCTGGGCCCCAGCCACTGTCTGCACCGTGGGAGTCCTCTTCCCCAAAGGACAAGTCTGGGTTTTGTATCACGATTTTCACTTTTCTTCCCCAAAGGACTTTTCCATGCCACAAGCTGCCTGGTTGGCCCCTCTTGGGTATGTGCTGTGCCCCAGCCTGGAATTGTGGTGAAGCCAATGGCTATTCTGAGATTTTCTGGACCCCACAGCTATCTCAGGCTCCAGTGCAGACGTGCAGGGAGCACCCAGTACTCTGCTCACGTCTCAGCCACGACTTCCAAGACTGGTTCTCTTACGCTCCTGACACCTTCAGACCCGAAATCGCCCCCGCCTGCAGGGTGACTAGAGCCTGCTTGGGGAGCGGTAGGAACACGCATGTGCCCCCCAGCCTGCCACTGAACTAGAGAAGGTCCTGGAAGGGTTAGGTCTGGGGCTTGAGGCTGAGCTCCAGAAAAACAGCCAGGGGTGCACCCCCCACCCCATGAGCCGCAGACTCGCAGGTCCTGGCCAAGTAAAGGAGGCGCTTCCTGCCGCCCGCTGAGTTCCCAGCACGTAGACCTCCTTCAGGGCCAATGTTCATTCATTTATGCCACAGGCATACTGAGTGCCTGCTGTATGCCAGGCACCGTCCTGGACTCCGGAGGGTTACCTGTGGACAAAACGAAAATCCCTGCTCTCGTGGAGCTAACATTGAACAAAAATCGTAATCACGAATTTGCCTCGACCTCTGTAGTTCGCAAAGCACTTTTCCTAAGAGGTAATCCTGTTGAATTCTCGGTGCTAACACAATACGTGTCATTCTAGAATCGCCTGTTCTCATTTAATTCTTCCAGTAATCCTCCAAGTTAGACACCATGCCGTTTTGCTGATAAGGAGACAGAGACTCCTGGAAGAGTCATTAAGTTATGTGAGGTCCACATAGACAGACAGTGGCAGAGCAGGAGTCCAAGCCCAAGTGTGTCTGACTTTCGGGCCTGCCCAAGATCCTGGGCACAGAGAAGCTGGCGGCATCGCCGGCAGAGGCAGAGGCTCAGGGAGACGCAGAGTGCCGAAGGTGAGCCCCGTCCCAAGGCATCCAAGGTGGAAGGGCTCGCTCGTCTGCCTCAGCCCATGTGGGCGGAGAACTAGGCTGTGCTCGAGCGCTTTGGGGTCATGGCACCCTCTGCATTGCGGGGAACCTGCCCCGGGCTGGACACTGTGACAGTTCCATAGTCCTTCCTGTCTGCGAGGAATCCTCTGCCCACCTGCTCACCTGGCAGCCCCCTTGGAGAACCCTTCCCTTCAACACGACCCCACCCAACTTAGCTCTGCTTTGCTTCTTCGTCTCCCCAACAAACATCATGTCCCTGCCTCCTCTGCCCACACGTCTGATACATTGCTTAGCTCACTGTTTGGGGACATACCTGTCTCGTGCCTGTCTGTACCACCCTACAGCACCAGGTGCTCCATCACTGGCTACTGAGTGAGGTTACAGGACTTGATAACTTCTGGCCGTTTTTAGTTGCACGGAGAGATTGGGCTGGTTATTATCTGGCCATAGCTGACTCACAGAAGAGAAAAGGTCCTCTTTATTTTTCCTACAGTCTGGGTCATGATGTCAGCGTGGCCTCTGGTATCCAACAAATGTCTGTGGCTTCTGAGTATTATTGTTTGAAGGCATTTCTGAAGCTTTGACATTTTCCTCCCGGGCCCACCGGAACTGGACCCCCGAGTGTGAATGGCCGAGGTCTGAGCACCTGGGTGTCTTGGCATATTAGCCACACTACCCAACTGCCAAAGGAACTCATGATTTGAGGATGTCCAGGAGAACACAGAGTAAGGTGTCTTAAGGCCACATAAGATGCCAAGACAATGGACATGTTTGTGGCTCTGTGAAGCTGCTGCTGGCCCAGCGAACCTGCCTGTGACAATCCACAGCATGCCTGTCATTTGGGTGGCCCCGAGATGAGCTCTCCAGGAAGGATCCCACTGGCACAAGAAGATTGCTGCCCAAACAGCTCCCCATCGATGTCCCTTAGCACAGACCCGTGCTGCAGGGCGAACAGCCAAGGAAAACACACCTGTGGATTCTTCAACGCCAAGGTGTGGTTGGGTCATTTCTTTAAACTCTATT